CCACCCTCACACCACGCTCATAACCCACCTTATCCGGTGGTCTCACCCATGGCCCCATTTTGTAGGACACTGATTGTCTGCCCTCCCGTGCCCTCATGTTTTGTGTGGTCACGGTTAAGCCACGTCAACATTTTATATTGTTTTTTATAGAGATAATAAGACAAAAATAAATAGTAATATAAAATGTTGACGTGACTTAACCGTGACCATACAAACAGGAGAGTACATGAGGGCACCGAAAGTGGGAGGGCAGTCAATCCTTGTCACATTTTGTGTGCCACACCCTTCCTCCTAAGACTTTTTATTTTGGCACTTCTGAATCTTAGAGAGAGAGAGAGAGAGAGAGAGAGAGAGAGAGAGAGAGAGAGCCTTCTTCTTGTTTGAGATCCGAGCTATACAGTCTTCTTCTTGTTTGAGATCCGAGCTATACAGAGTGTCACTCACACCCACTGTATTTTTTAACTCATCCATTCGGTATATATTGTTATTCTTTTTCACTGCTAGAAGTTCATGGGAAGTGATGGAGATCGAGTCATTGTTTATAATCAATAGAATTCATGTTCCGTCTTAATTAATTTGAATCACGCTTGCATTATTATTGACTAATTGAGTAGTTGTAAATACAATCGAGAATGGGTTGTGATTTTCACACACCCTTAACTACTTTTCTCACACCACTTCTTATTTTTTAATAGTTAATTGGTATCATACTATTTAATCTTTCATATATACCTTTTCTACTTTTTTTATGGTAATTAATGAAAAATTAAATAGGGAGGGGTATATATGGAAGATTAAATAGTAGGATACCAATTAAGTACTAAAAAATAGGAAGGGGTGTGAGAAAAATAGTTATGGGTGTGTGAAAATCACAAACCCTTGAGAATCTGCTTGTATATTATTTTGTATCTTATGCGACAAGAGATAATCATGAGATAATTAAGAATCTTTAATAATACTCCGATTACTAATTAGCTTGATCTCGTGATAATCAGCCTTGTAAACAAGTTGTGTATCTATTTATGTCTTGCTTGAAGATAGACACAAATAGATATACAATTTACAACCGAAAATAATAGTAGTCTTCTATAAAACTCGGCTTAAAATTGCATTTACTAGGAATAGTTCTATCCACACGTTATTTGTTACCTTCCATACACCATCTTAATTTGTGGCAATTGTATTGAATCGAATAAATTGACAGAATGTATGAGAAAAGTTAAAATGAATGTGTGAAGAGGTGCTAGACGTTGAAAACCAAAGACCTTGAGATTCACCATTTCATTAAATAATTTAACTTATAAGTAACATCCTTTGACTGACAAAACCAACTGGAAAGAGTTTTCTAACCAGACCTAAGTGAGAAAGTAAGCTGAAAACTGTTAATTAAAATGTTAGAGTATCTTTAAGGGAGATGTTAAATTCAAATAATAAATTTCAATTTGATGATTGATTTGGCAATTTGATATAGTGTCAATATTTTCCTTCTACTGAATATGCCACAATTTATTGCTTCATTAATGTTTTTTTCAAACAAAAATAATAAAAGTTGGATTTGGATCCACTAAAAGCCCACAGCCATCGATCAAAAATAAGAATTCCACGTGGCACAAGATCGGGGTCCAGTCCACCATTTTCGTGGATTTGGATCCTTTCTAAGGCAACTAGTCGGGATCTTCCTTACCAGTGTTTATGGACCATTGGATTTTTATCCAACGGCTACAAACAAGAAGGCCCTCTAAAAGTTATAAAATTGTAGCCGTTAGATAAAAATTCAACGGTCCACGAACAATGGTTAGGAGGATCCTGTTGGAGATATGTCAACAATCTGTGATAAATTTGTATATGCTAATAAATAATAAAATGCAAACAGTGTATGAACAATGAAATAATATTTAACAGAAATATTGAAGATCGAGGCTTGCATACCGTAATGTCCTTGAAACAAAAATTTCGCCCCTACTCAATGCTTGTAGTTTTACCGACGTTTGCTTCACCAGGATTCAACGATCAAGTCAGAATTCCAGCACCGGAAAACTTGACTTCTGACGAATTTTTGTGTGGTTCTCTCAGTAAGGATATTTGTGATTGTAGAAGAAGAATGTTGATTTTCTGTGTTATAAATGTCATGCAGATGGATGTATATATAATATGATTATGCATGTTCGCAACAGGTATGAGGAAGGGATGCATATGTTCGGAGACATCTTCTCAGATGGGTGTTTTCTTTTTATGTTCTTTCATACTTCAGACTTCATCTGAAAGGATGAGTCTGTTGATAAAATAATAATAAAATAAATAATTAATTAATTAAATTCGAAATTAATTAAAAATAATTTATTAAATCCGAAAATAATTAATTAAAGTATTTAATTATTAGAGCTCGAGCCCCAAGGCCCATCTTTTAATAATTAATTATATATTAATCATCAATTAATTAATACATCCCAAAGCCTAACCCTAAGGATGAGCTCAATTTTATTCTCCAATGTCCATCACTCCAATCATTTTCTATAAGAGACAAAGTCTTATAAAGTGAGGGGACCTTGTGGTGGTGAGCAATGTGAGATTATGAAATTCTACTCAAAATTTCCAACATATCCCGACCAGTTGCCTCAGAGAGGATCCAAATCCCCTTTTCGTGCCTATCGTGCAATGAATCAGGATCCTCTCCTGAGCTTAGGAGGCTCATTTTCGTGCCTCTTGTGCAATGAATCAGGATCATCTCTTGAGCTCCTAAGCAAATCACACGGTATGTTGGATCAAAATTTAATGGCTACAATTATTACTTTTAGAGGGATCTCCTATTTGTAACTATTGGATTTTGATCTAACAACCCATGCGATTTCCTCATAAGGCTCAGTCTCCTACGCTCAGGAGAGGATCCTAATCCCAATTTCATATCATCTCTAGAAAATCTCATTTGGTCTCCTGCTATTAGCAATAATAAATTATTTTCTAAACTAGATTGAGATGGCATGCAAGGCCCACTCTATCTTTATCATACTTAATTCTCAAATATTAGAAAACTCATATTGGCTTTGAACTTTGGGTAAATACTTAAATGCAATTACATCATTCACCTGATTAACTTATCACACAACGCAATGGTTGATACATGCACAAATATCGCGTTGAATACGCATTTGAGAGATATACATGGTTTTCTTAAGTAAGTCTGAAAATTTGGAGGTAGTTCACAACTCAAATTTTCGAAGCATCGTTGAGTTTCCATAAACTGATGCTTAAAAATATTGAAACCTCATTTTGAACAGTATTTCTGGAGGCCGTACGGTTGCTTCAACATTTTCATAAGCTGCATTGGATCATTTTACATGGGTTTTTCTAACATGCTTGTTAGGCCATCTTCAACCAAATGAGGGCCAAAAGGCTTACTCTAGCCCTATAGCCCTTCAAGAAATTATATTTTAATGAACAATGTCAAATCATATTTCATATCATCTCAAACCAAGGGGCCAAAGGACCATATGCCAAACATAATTTATTATTTCAATTTAAATGCTACAACAACTTAAATTTAAATACTACAACTTAAATTTATGTGAGAAATGGTATAGGAATGACTTAGGTATTTATAGGAAAAAATTTAGAATTTTTTATTACTTTTTTAAAAAAAATTATGAGGAATTTTTTTTTAAATCTAGCGGCTATTGGCGTCAACATGATGACGGTAGCTGTTGGATTTGAATTATTTGGGTCAGCCTGGGGCTAGCTAGCTGGCTCATTTGGGCCAGCCGGTTGGCCTGATTTAGTGTTTTTGGCCCGGTGGGGTCCATGAGCCATTTGGCCTAGTAATCGGTTGGAGACGGTTTTCATGTCATTTCGGACTAATTTTAGCCATATAACTCTCTGGCCGGATCGGTTAGTGATAGCCTTATATATCCATTTGGAATTTTGTTTTCCAGCCATATGTTTGGGAATGGGGAAATTTGTTAAATATTGAGAGTCCCAGTCCATGATTTGTGTTATAGGTAAATCAAGTGCACTCTCACTGCCAAAATTTGGAGATGCCAAAAACCATTTAACAAAATGTCACCGCATGCAACAAAATGTTGCACTTCACATGAACTGGTACTTCTAATTGATGCTCCTAGCTAGGACCCGTTTAATCGCAATTTGTAGTATTCACTCTTGTTTATTCGGTCATGTCTTTGCTTGGTTTGTAATCACATATTTTCGTTTTTAATCGGTTTTATATATAATATTTTTAATATGACTTTGCTAGTTGTTTATTAGTTAGATTGTGTATTTTCATTTCTAATTATCATGTTAGTAGTGGCTCGATGAGTAATTAAACATAAGGGAATTGGATGATGCATGTAAAACACAACTTAACAATACGCTATGTCAGAACTAACTGCCATTACTTTGCTAATCTACAAGCACTTTGGAAATGATTTTACTAAGGGTTGAAGAGTTTGACTTTTATGGAGAGAATCGATTGCGAGCTTGTGAAATAAGCACTATAGAACTCCAACGAAAGCGATGCAAATAGGATTAGGATCAGTATCTTCAATCTTATATTCAAGGTAGGCTTGAAATAGGAATTGGTGATCAATGTTTTTGCATCAAACAACACTATCGCCTACAATTAGTTAGTTTCTCCCAATACCTCAAATAAAAGGATTTACAATTACTGCAAGCGGTGGATTGCTACGGTGATTAGTGTCTTCCTCCATTGTATTATGTGTTCAAACTGCCCCTCCTTAATGTAATTTAGAGTACGAATGTCACTCGTATTAAAAACAAATTTTACTAATAGAATCATTATGCTTTCAAGCAAAAACATATGCTAAATGGTCATACTATTCTTACCTGCATGCATCACTCTCATATAAATGTAATGAAAATAAACCCAACGCAGGGGGCTGGTGGAACCCTCCACAGCCCAATAGAAAGCAGCTGTACCTGTACCTGTTTCTTACAGAAGGTAAAGCAGACTTGTTGAGAAGAAACATGAAATCTCAGGCATGATCCAAAATATGCTTAATTCATTCTATTGAACAAATTGGCTTCATACATCTCATATCTGATTGAAGTTGTAAACTAATAGGATCGGAAACCGACGTCGTGAGACTGTCGATCACAATGTAGTGTGGAAGAAAGTTGTACTACAAATTGATTAATCAAAAGATCAACAAAACTAGGGCTTTTACAACTTTGACTACAGTATCATTCTTAACCACTCGAACTTCAAAGATCGATCCTTGTGAATGAGAAAATTCTACATCTTAGGGAAATTCAACCTCGCATTTGTTCGAACCCCGATGAAACATCAAAAACTTCTTGTATAATTCCTTCCTTGTACACAAAAGACCACCACAGGTATGTATTGTCATTCTTTTCAAAACCTTTCCATTTTCTAGCAAAAACTTTGCCACTTCCATCTCATGCGGCCTTCCCATTAATCTTGTTATACAGATAGTCTTGAGGTGCGTCAGCAAACAACTAGGCACAAAATCTGGCGGATTCCATCGAACCTTTGGCAACTTGAATTGAAAATGTGGGTATTCTCGTACCAGTTCAGATTCAAAACCACAACTACTGAAGACCTGACAGTGAATTAAAAGAATGAATGAAATGAGAATCATTAAGGTGATGTTTGGATAAGAGTTTTCCAAGTCCCAACAGATTGATGTCAACTTATGACGTAGTGGATCATAAAATGTTATTCGGAGGGGATTAGAAAAGCCTTCCATGAGTATTACAAGGGCATGTGAGGGGTTTGTAGATGACACCTCCCAAGTAGGGATTAGCAAATCCCTCTCATATGCCTACGTAATGATCATGGAGCGTTTTTCTAATCCCTTCTATGTTGCATTTTGTGGTCCATTCTTTAATAACTTGACATCAATCCCTTGGAACTAGGAAAACCCTCGTCCAAAAACTCAGCCTAAGAGCTGCAAGTTGGTGTTACGTAGCATAAATCTATATATGTCTTACATCAAAGTCTAAGACAAGATATTCCAGAACAGGTGATCTCTGGAGGAACTCTACCCACCAAGAATAGCATTCAGTTGGCTCAAATTAGCAAAAGCAGGCAGCTGACAGGCCTTCGTTAAAAATAGAGTATTAGATAGTAGAGTAGTAGTTAAAACATTTACTAATGCATCTTATACAATTTCTAACTATAAGGGTGACCCCAAGCCAACAAGGCTCCCCACTTTGTGAGGGTCGGAGGGAACGTCTCGTATGTAGCCTTACCCTTGCTTTGCAAAGAGACTGTTTCCATGACTCGAACCCGTGACCTTTCGGTCACAAAGGAGCAACCTTTTTGTTGCGCCAAAGCTCGCCCTCACAATTTCCAACTATAAATAAACAAAGTAGAGGGCTGCAAGTTACAAACACCATGGCTGGTGAAAAATGATAAGAATTATCAATAGGGCAAGTAGAATGGACGATGAAAGGATGCTATGATGTGTCAATCCCTTGTGTAGTTTAGTATATTATGGAAGAAAAGATGCAAAAACTTTTCCTCATTGGGTCTTGAGTGAAAAAGGGTAAAAAAGACAATAATATTCACAATTACAAAACTGTTTAAATTCAACCTATCCAATTTGAAGGAAATGAAAGTCATAGGCCCTTCCTTCTTTGCAGAAAATATGCAGCATCTATATTTTCTTGCCCCTTTGTCAACCACCCTCTTCTTTCCTTCTCAAATATAATCCTCTCTACCAAACATATTGTAAGAAACAAGAGCACACTTACCTCCAAACAATGCGCCGCAAGAGACAAACATTTAACGTTACAAATTTGTAGCAGAAGAGTAGTTACGCGGCTAGCATGGACAGGACATTCACAAGCAAAATGTTCATCGAAATGAATAGTGGCTTTGACCAGGGATTTTGCATTCTCCAATACACAATTTGACAAGAAAATCTGCTCGTAATCAAAGTTTTCAAGCTTTGGTGCATCAATGAAAAAAATTCACTCGTTATTCATAGCCAAATCACAAACATCTCCTAAATCAGGGGCAGTTTCCAAATCCATTCTTAAGATCTTCGGTCCAAGTGCAGAGATATTGAAATTCCAAACTTCATGTTCTCCAACAACTCCATGTATAGTTAAATCTTCAACTGCACGGCAGCGAGACAAAAAAATTTCTATCAATTCGTTATCAGGATACCTAACTGCAACAGAAAGGCTTTTGAGACTTGGTAAGCACCATAACGTAGGCGCATTGGTAACAAAACTTGACATCAACTTCAAAACCCTGAGTGTTTTGCACATAAAAAGGCTTTTAGGCAACTCAAAAATATTCTGCTCATGTGGTTCAACACAAAGATCAAGTTCAGCAACGTTACGCATAATGGCTGTGCGAATCCAAGCATCAATACGAGGGAAATCCCCCATACAGTGACAATCAAGACGAAAATTTTCAATGTCGGATGAGCCACGGAAGAGAAGTACACGATCAACAAACATCGTAGAACCATGATAGTTGGGAAAATCCTCATTGTCCAAATCTATACTGGGAACAGCGGCCCACATGTTCTTCCATCTTGTAGACAAAACATTAGTCCTCACAGAATATTTTGTTGGAAGAAAGGAAAGTATGTGACAAAGAACTGAAACCGGTAAGTCACTGATCCTATCCTTAAGTCTTGAAGCACGCTTGGACTTCGAACCCATTTATAATTTTGATATCTTCAGACGCTTCTCTACCTAAAATTTCATATGTTTTCTGTATTAGTTACATGAAACAAAAGCATAGCAAAATATAAGTCTCACTACATTTGAATCGAAAACTAAATGGTAAACAAAAACTCCTAGGCTCTGTTTGGTTACAGAGAAAATTAAGGTCAATATACGAAATCCAAATGTATTCTCCAAATACTTCAATTCATAATTTTCCAAGGAATTGCCAACAGTATTATTTTTCCCCTTTATCAATAAAATTCTTGAAACCCCTGTTCATAATGAAGAGAAGTTTACAGAAATTATTACTTGCTGCAGACCTAGACAAAGATAAAGCTCAAATTTTCTATCTATATTTTTGCCTCTGACAGTTTTCTTGGTAACCAAACAGATGGTAAGGGTTTCAAAGGTGGAAAGAAGTACCTGGAAACTGATATGAGCTTCTGAGGTGACCAGAAAGATGCTAGTGTAACCAGTGAATAGTTGTAAGACCTGATTGGTTGCCGAGAAACGGAGGGAAAATGGTATGAAATGGGTAGAAGGATAAAGAGCATTCCCCAAACGGCGCAGCTGCAACTCTCAAATGGAAAACCGAAGTCTGAACCTTTCCCGCGCTTTTCTCCTTTTTGTCCTTGTGTATAATTTCAAGAAGAGAGAAAATAAACGAATTTAAACCACTTAATACTACTGTCTACTGCCACATAATATTATGATTAGTGATATTTCTTTCATACGTAAGTGAGGGATCTTATATTCGATTATCGTCATAGGTCAAATTGAATCATATCATTATGGTAAGCTCATTGTAAGGATTAGCCCACTCTCTTACGCCTTTAATGTTGATATTATCGTTTGTTCAAAAAAAAAAAATAATAATAATATAGCGATATCTAGTGGTATTCCTCTTCACTTGTAAATTTGAAGTCTTAAATTCAATTCTTGTCAAAACCAAATTCAAACCTCATTATTACTAATCCATTATAAGACTAAGCTCACTCATCCCTTTAATATAGATAATATCCTTGTTAAAAAAAATGAAAAAAAAAACCCAATTTCAACATGCTAGGCCCAATCGACAAAAAAAAAATAGGGAACTTTAATGAAAAGCACCCGGTATTGTTCACTTTAACGAAAAATCACATTTTTACACTAAAAATTCAATCATGATACTATTTACTTTACCATTTATTTTGTCATTATCGGTAAAACTCAAAATTTTCAAACTATTTTCATTAGTTTTTCTAAAAAAATATGTTAGGCCCAAATGGTAATCTGTTTCCTTACGGCTCAGTTGAAATACAATTTGGCCCAATGGCCCAAATCTAAGAAGGCGAACCGCCTCTCCCAAGGGAAAAATTAGAATTGCTTGGCTGCTGGGATTATGTTATCCCGGGTTAGAGCATCAAGTAACGAATCCCAAACTGGCTTAATGATGACGCCCAACAAAATTATACATACCCACCCACTGCTCCTTCACAAATGGCTTCTACACTCTGCTGCAGAGCCGACGCCCTTCGAACCATCTCCTCCTCCGCCACAATTCGACGCCGTCTTCCCCTGGTGGGAGCATTCTGCGTATTCACCTTGGGCATCTCCAACCTCCTTCCCACTCTCTCCTTCTCCGCCTTCAGAACGGGCACCGCTCAGTCTCTCCCTTTTGCCCCTTTCTTGAGGTACGCCACCGTCACCGCCACCTTCTTCTCCTTCGGTCTCTGATTCCGAAAGGGTTTTTATTTAATTTCATTGTTTACTGTGTTGTGGGTTTATAGATCAAAGTTTGGCAGCCGATCAGCAGGCGTTGGTTCTGTGAGAATGGAAGGGAGTAGCGATACTACTGTTCCAAGCATTGTTGTTTATGTTACTGTGCCCAGCAGAGAAGTAGGTTAGTATTTATTGATCAAAATGATTAATGGGTTTTCTTTTTTCTTTTTTTTTGCATTTTTTGATTTGGGTTTTGTTTTGTTTTCGAGAAGATTATGATTTTTCGTCATTGGGTGCTTGATTATTGAGACACAAGATGGATATATGGTTGACTTTGTGTGTGAAATTATGATGAGTTGACTGTAGTCTGCATGTCTGCTTCGTCTATGAGCATCCTTTGGCGAATAGGCGATTTTCGTGGCATTTGTAGTGAATGGATATCTGCAAGTTTGGGGAAAATATGGCAGTATCTTCCACAGGAAAGCACATAAAAATTGGATGCACCAATGTGATTCAGTGTTTTGAACCATCCTGCTAACTTTGCGATGTGCGAATATTAGGTCACTAGAATTTAACTTGGACGTGTTATAATGCTTACAAGCAACAAGTACTTAGATTTTGCTTTCTGGTTGAGAGTTCAGTAATTGGATTTATGAAGAAAGCATTCTGATTTGTCTTCCAAGTATTGTGATATATTTAGTTGACACTCCAATAATAAACAATGCACATGGGTTACACCTTCAGTCTTATTTTTTTTCCTTGAGACATACAGTAGGTTTGGTTAGCCCTCTACTCAATTTTATGTGTTGCATGCTTTTCTCATAGCTTCGAAATTTCACAACTACCAAGCTTTCGTTTAAGGTTTGGAAGACTGAAGCTAAAGCTACTTTACTTATTTTATCTTTTATGACATGCTATCTTTCTGCAGGAAAGAAGTTGGCTGAAAGCTTAGTCAGAGAAAAACTTGCAGCCTGTGTTAACCTAGTGCCAGGTATGCGCTTCATATTAATCCTTACATTATGCTTGTATATTGTTTTGCCTACTGCTTTTGTTGCAGACCAATTCATGTCATACGTATATATTCCAAAGAGCATGGGCTGTTAAGTTTACATTTGCTTGTTCCGATGATATTACTGACCTCTTTTTCTGGGAATAATGATGGAAAGACTGAACACAAATTTTGCAAGTTGATAATTTAGTTTTTTTATGTCTGAATAAACATAGAGGTCGCACTTGGTGCGATGGCAAGTGCCTTCGCCCATCAGCGGTAGGTCTCGGGTTCAAGACTTGGGAGCAGCCTCTCCATAAATGGGGGTAAGGCTAGCCGACATTCACCTCTCCCAGACCCTGTGTAAAGCGGGAGCCTTGTGCACTGGGTACGACCTTTATATGTCTGAATAAACATAATTTTCGGGTCAACACCAACCATCTGACTTGGAGTAAGCCAAAGTGCCAAACATCTTATTTCTTGTACCATCTGCTAAAACATGGTTGTGGAACATAGTTCGTACTTAGATTGTGTACCTTATTTATCAACCCCCCCCTCCCCCGGGGAACCCTTTTTTGTTTCTCGCCTATGTTTTTTTGTTACTGCTAGATCATGATTACAATGTGTGGACTACTTAAGTTTTGATTGCCTTGGTTAATTGCTTAGTATAGAAGGAACATCGATGTTTGCTGGGATTGGCCAAGCTATGTACTTGTTAACATGCGTGCTATCTACTTGAACTGTTATTTGTGTCCTTTAAAATAAGATTCTCGTGTCCTCCCTTCTATTGATATTGATACTGCATTTTAATCTTTGAATTGACAACTGAACTTATGAATTTCCTCATTAACATTCTTGCATACAACTTGCATCAAGCCTGTATTTCTTGTTTGATTCATGTTGAATATTGTGAATGCAGGCATTGAGTCCGTCTATGAGTGGAAAGGAGAGGTACAGAACTTATGAATTTGGATTGTTCACATGCTATTTTGTTGCATTGAAATTTGTATATTTTCATAAGCAAGCACGAGATATGGAAAATATGTGTACACTTAATTCACCTTTTTTTATTGGTGGATAGGTCCAGACAGATTCTGAAGAACTTCTTATAATCAAGACAAGGCAATCCCTTTTTGAAGCTTTGACTGCGCATGTCAAGGCAAACCATCCATACGAGTAAGCTCAAAGCTTCTGCAGAATAAATTTCATATAATTGTTATAACTTAGTTGCAAGCTGAAAATTCCAAATAATTGGAAGATTGTGGTAGCCACAATGCTCTACGTAGCTTGAAGACCAGATCCTATGCCTAGTCCCTTCAGCCAGAACTGTTGCCACAAATCCTACCTTGTAGATTCAGAATGTTTCTGCACCCAGTAATCCCCTCTGCTAAGACTGACCTCTCTCCCTCTTTTCTTGTATTCTCTTTTATCAGTGTTCCGGAAGTTATTGCCTTGCCTATCAACGCAGGCAGTCTCCCGTACCTAGAATGGATCAAAAACAGCACAAGGGACTGACTCAAAGCTTCTTATAACGGATCAAGTACATTGAACCTTTGGAGTGTTTCTTGAAGTAGGCAAGCAGATGGTTCGAATGGTGTTTGTCTATGTGTAAGTATGTGTGCAAATAAAACAAGCTGCATGATATTTTCTTAGTGTTACAGTTGAAACTGGGAATTACTTATCGCTGGCGGGTTTCCCGTTGGTTTTTCTAAGATAATATACGGACTTTATATCAGTAAAAGCTGTACTTAGTTAAATCTACCCCTCCATGGCATTGTGCGTTTCCTCATCGTCTTTTTTGGAAAGAACCAACAAGAGTCGGGCGGCCTGAGATGGGTGCGATGCCTGTTTTGTGACATGGAATTGGTGAATGATAAAAAGGGAGTGAAAACGAAAACGAAAGCGATAGTGAAAACTGAAATTGATTTTGAAAACAGTTTCATCTCTCTGAAAATCAGAAATTGAAATCAGTTACCAACTTACCAAACAAGATCTTAGTGAAAACTTAAAACGAAACGGTTATAACACCGCCCACGTCACTTTTCTTGATGCAAGAAAAGTCACTAATCCATGTAACGAGGTATCGAGGTATCCGATGGTCCCATCAAAATATCGATTAATCCAATGAAAATAAAATTTTCTATCTTGTCATCCTTGATTATCTCACCCCACCCGTAATCCAAATTTAGATTAAAAAAAGCTGGTTGCTGTTACCATCAAATTCTATCCATCACAAATCACTTAAAAGACAAATTTGAAAACAAGTTCAGTATCAACGTTGCGGAACAATGTACAAATTAACACACTTTCTTCCAATCAGCACAGGAAAACGGCATTCAATGCCCACCGAGGCTCCTCCAGAGGATCAACGTGGCCTTTCCGCCTTTCGCTGCCCTCTATGCCTCGTCCAACTGGTCCTGCATAAACACAACATAAAAAATAACATATAAAACAGATCATCATCAATCTAGAGAGAGAGAGAGGAGTGAAGGCGAGGCTAACCGAAGCATCAGAAGTCCAAAGAGTGAGGTTGTCCCTTAGAAGTTGCATGATTAGAGTGCTGTCCTTGTATGATTCTTCTCCCAGAGTGTCTAGCTCAGCAATAGCTTCCTCAAATGCCTAATTATTCACAATACAAAGCAACTTAGAAGATAAATAGACCATTTCAAAAGGAAGGCACACAGCTACAACCACACATCTCAAGTAAACAAAAACTTGACAAGACGAAGTTTTAATCTTCAAGCTTTTTAAATGCATGAATGTCAGGAAGCAAGCAAGTATTTTCCATCGTGACTTACTGTGGCATGTCTCACAGAATATGTTTCATTTCATCATCTGCTGAAAGTTGGGTAATGAAAAGGATCGGTATGCAGCCGATACAATATAAAATTTAAGTAATCTACCAACTAGCTCTTGGTTTAGTTGTACCTCTCTTCCCAACGTTGGAAGAGGTCCCAAGTTTGATTCCCCAATGGATTACCAAAAAAATAAAAACTAATATGAAGCAAACCATTCAAGTTTCAACCATCAAAGGATATAACAATTTTGCAATTTGACAAAACAACTCGACAGACACGTATAAAAAAGCACCAATCCAACAAGATTTTCAAGACACTGCCCACTGCCAAACACATGGGGATAATTTCTTTTAATAATAAACAATGATCACCTCAATAATTCATCTAACTTTCAGTACAGCAAGCATGGAAATAACAACTAGCACACACAAAATGTCAAAGAGCAACTATGTTAAGTATCACCAAAACTTTTATGAGAGATTTTAAAGTCCTCTCCCCACAAAGTAAACAACCTAAACCCATTTCATATCGTGAATTATTCAGATTTGGTGCCTATCAATAGAACATACAGAAACCAATTCATGCGGGTTTTGCTTAAGTAAATATTAAATAAGAAAGTTGATACCATATAAAACACTTCCGCAGCAAGACAACACTGTAACACATCCTAACGAAATTCACTAAAATAGTACAAAGAAAGAAAGAAAAGTAACATTGCAAAATCGTAATGGGCCCGTTTGGGAGTGGTTCTGGGAAGGCCAGAATCACTTTTCGAGGAGAAACACACCCATAAAATCACTTACCAAATCATTCAAGAGATGGAGAAACACCTCCAACGTGCTTCTACATAACTCAATTATGGTTTAAGAGAGAAGCACATACCTCAGAAGTGATTATGGCTTTCCCAGAAGCACTGCCAAGATTCTAACAAGATTATAGTGAGATAGGAAAGTTACCTGTTTGGCCATGCTGCAAGCTTTATCAGACTGATTGAGAATCTCATAGTAGAACACTGAGAAATTCAGTGCCAGACCCAATCTTATTGGATGAGTTGGTGACAGATCCGCAAGCGCTATGTCCTTCACACACCAAATTAAACCTCAAAATTTTATCTTCCAAAATCTAATCAATTCCAATTAACATAATTCAAATTTTGGGTTTTTTTTTTCTCCTTAATTTCAGTAGCAAACCCAGAAATTAAACAATTACGTAAATAATTAAAAATGTTAACGCTGACTGACAGCCTCAAAACCCTCAAATTGTAAAAACCCAGATGTTCAAAAGGTCAAAACTTTATGAGAATCGAGACGACGCCGTTACCTGGGCAGCCTTGTAAGCAAGCATAGTGTCCTCAGCAGCAGTCTTTCTCTCCTCGGCGGATTTGAACTCCGCCATGTAGCGGTGGTAGTCGCCCTTCATCTTCAGATAGAAGACCTTGGACTCACTGGCCGACGCCGACGGCACGAGATTGGAGTCCAAGAGCTTCAATATCTTAGCGCAGACATCAGAGAGCTCGGACTCGACCTTGGATCTGTACTCCTTGACGAGCGCCACGTGTTCCTCGTTCTTCCGGCCCTCCTCCTTCTGCTCGATCGACGACACGATGCGCCAGGCGGCACGGAGCGAGCCGATCACGTTCTTGTACGCAACGGAGAGAAGATTGCGCTCCTCAACGGTCAGCTCGGCGGCCGGAGTGGAACCAACGACCAGCTTCTCCATGAACTGGACCATCTCCTCGTAGCGCTCCGCTTGCTCGGAGAGCTTCGCCAGGTACACGTACTGCTCCCTGGTGAGGTTATCGGGGACGACGGAAGCCATCGGAATGGGTGTTGGAAGACGAGCTCGGCGATTGCGCGTTAGGTGTTTGTGAAAATGTCTGTGAGAAAGAGAGGGGGAGAAGGCGGGATTAAAAGAAGCCGAAAGGGGCCCAAAGGGATTCCAGAGTTGGTGGTGTCACAAAGTTACAGATAAGCTCAAGGTGGTTATTGCGGAAATGGAAATGCCAGTCATCATTTTTCAATTTTTTTTTAATTTTTTTTAAAGGTACAGCAAGTCACGGATATTCATTCCTCCTAAGTCTGGAAATGCTATAATTTCACTTTATCTCAAGCAGACTTACCAGCTCAAAACACCGAACACGATACTACATTTTTTTTGTTTATTGAAGAGCTGTAGTTCGCGTTTTTACCAATTTTTTTTAATTTTTTCACTTTCCTAAATTAACTTTTTTTAAATTTTTATAATTTTACTTTTCGTTGGGAACAATGTCTTTTTGCCTCTTTCTGTATGCCGTCAATGCCTAACTATCTGCTTTGTCACGCTTTAGAAATTTGTTGGACATTTGTTGGGACTTTATTGGCTTGAGACTAAATAGGTATGAAGTGGGTGGCATAACAAAACAAAAGATAACAAAGTTTATAGGGTTTGGCCGGTGCGAGAAATTCTCTTGCAACTAATATAGCGTTCTAGTAATTTTATTGGTAGTTCAAAAGAAAAAATTTAAGAGTATTATCCTTGTGATATATGATTAATACGTGTTCAAACGGTCCAATTGATAATAACCACATAAAGTTAGTGATTAGTTCGATTTTAAGAGAAATGGAAAACAAAAGATTGAAACCTAGTTTAAGGTTAGAACATAGACATTTTATAAGAAAAAATTGAATGATGAAAACATAGTTTACACCAAATAATACAAATACCACCCCAAGAAGATTTTTGACAACCTATCATCCAACTCCATTTTATTTTTGTATTTTTTTAAGTTGTACTACAATGATGAATTTGCGTTATATATTTCGTCAAGTTCAATTTCATTTTCAAGATTGGTAAGAGCAATACCACCGGTTATTAATCATGCTCATTGATTTCCGTACTCATTGGAAATTAAACGCACCAAATTATACCATAATGGCACAACGATCAAATTTCAATTTTTTTTACCGTTGAAAATCAACAGTCCAGATCCTCAATCCGTTGGAAATCCAACAATTTTAGCGCTGCACCGTAGGAAGTCGTTTGACTCTGTCTCAACTTTTGGTCGCAGGACCTGTCAACTCACGTTTGACATCACGCTGACGTCGTCTACTTGCTGGCGCAAGTCCTGACAATTGAAGGCCAGGGATTCTAACGGGCTTGGTAGAGCCCAACAATTGCCTGCCATATTTTGAGCCGCTGGGGCCACTTTGGTGGATTTTGGGCAATACAATGGAAGTATTTTTTTTTCTCACCATAATTTAATGTAATGTATACTCATCATTCTATTTATTATCGTTAGATGAGTTTGAATTTTAAAATTCGTGTAATAAATAGAAACAAATCATAAAATTCAAACTCATTTAACAATGATAAATAGGATGGTGAACATACAACATACTAAATGGTGATGTGCAAAAATGCACACGCCCTTGCCCTAGCCCTTGCCTTTTTTGGATGGATGGAAATGCTCTAAATAACTTGGGGGTAAAAATTGGGTTTACCGTTTACCCTAACTCATGCAACTTAAGCTAAATAGAGCCCCTGCAATTTTGTTGTTAATATTGTGCCGAAAATTGCCCTTAGACAAGGATTCGCTTGATGTTGTATAGGCTAAATTTTTAAGATAGAGATAAAAGTGGTCCATTCACATTAAAAGTGAAAATTGGGTGCGTGGTAAATCGTTAAAAACGTTTATTCGGATATATTTATACGTAACAGTCCATGTTAAATTTATGCGAAACTTCTCAAAATAAATTTTAAAGAACTATAATTTGTTACTAATAATACGAGTATCACAAACACTTGAGCTGAATAACATAGTAGTATTTGGATTCCCGAATCTAGGAATTTAGATGACGTTTATAAGGCAAAGTTGTCTATTATTCCAAGAATTGGATAAGAATAAAAGAACGAAAACAATTTCAAATGATTCATTTTAAATTTATTGTTTTCTAATTTTTTATTAGAACATTTTGGTCAATCCAAATAAATTTGTTCTTCATAGTTAAGACTAGTTCTCCAAGAAAAAATTGGGACTACTGTACACATCAATAGCTTACAATTAATCTTGAAAGATGGACGGTCACTAATTTAGTAATATTCTTATTTACTTGTAAGTGAAAGATTTTAAATTCGATTTTTATCGAAAGCAAATCTGAACCATTTTATCTTAGTATAAATAATATCGTTTGTTAAAAAAATAAAAGGTATTCAGTTTGAATCTCGTAGATGTCTATCTAATATGGCAAAACTTTTAGATGAAAGCATGATGTCTCCATCTCTATCATGGCTATTTTCATAAACAAATTATTTTAGTTTATCCTTTAGTCAGTGCACTCAATGATATAAAGAATGGAAAATTTAAGATTTTATTTTCATGTTAGGTGGCGGATCAAATGTTTGTGTGTAGAGTTTCTAAATGAGAGAGACTTATCAATACTTTCGATTTTCATTTTTTATTTATGAGTTTTGTGCAGTTAGTTATGAGTTTTTTTTTTTTAAATATGTCAATTTACTTTAAACTGTCAGCCTGTTAATTTTTCCATCAAATTTGACACTTTTTTCATTAGGTTGCTTTTCACTTGAAAGAATCAAAGATTACCCTTAATTTGACGGAAATATTAAGAGATAGACGGTCTAAGGCAAGTTCACACTTTTTTTTTTTTTTTTTTTTTTTAACAAATGATATTATATACACTAAATGAAGTAGATAAACTTAACTTCATAATAGGTTAACAATAATGGGCTCATTTGGATGTGATTTTAAAATAATTAAAAGTGCTTTTAGAGAAAATTGTTTTAGGTCCCAAAACAATTTTTTTAACAAATGATATTATATACGCTAAAGGAAGTTGATGAACTTAGATTCATAATAGGTTAACAATAATGGGTTCATTTTGATGTGGTTTTAAAATAATTGAAAGTGTTTTTAGAAAAAATTGTTTTAGGTCCCAAAAGCACTTTAAGTGCTTTTCCAGGGTTCACTTACATTTTTACTAAAGATTGGTTCTAAAAACATTTTCACACTTTCAGTCATTTTAAAAGTACATCCAAACGAGCTCAATGTTGTTCAAACTCGTATTTGACGAGTATCGAATATGAGATATCTCACTTACAAATAAAGAAAAATATCACTAAACTGTAGTACTAAATAACAAATTGACACATTTTAAATCACCAAAGGGCTCAAAGGGCATTGGATTGGATGAGTTTTCCTTGAAAACAAGAAAGAAAGATGGCCGTATGCAAGTTTGCGCTTTTTCTTGGGCAGAAAACACACACATAAACGAAGAAACAGAAACCCCACAGACACGACGTGGCGTTTTTGATTTGGTGCGCCTTCTTCCATGAGAGCGGAAGCAGCCTTTCACCTCCGCCCTGCAACTCAAGTTAACAGCTAGATTTTGGTTACAGAAAGTGTTGGTTTTTCACATTAATCCTCCAGGTAATTCTTTCCAGGCATTGCAAATTTGCAATTGTGTTTTTAATCCTTTTTTTTTTATTTGTTTGTACGAATTTCCGTTGATTTGCAAGGAATTTTGAAGGAAAAATAAAATATTAAAGACAACGGAATTGAAATTTGGAACATTTTCTGCCCATTAATCAGTCCATTTGAGTTTTTGAAATTTGAATTTATGGGGAATGTGGTTGGTTGATTTTTCAGAGAGTAGGTTAGTGGATTCAAGTTCAGTTTTAAGGTTTCCCAAACCCACAAAAACCCTTCACTTTTTCATCATTTGTGAAATAATTGAATGTCGAATGACAAACTGGATGGAAAAACAAGTTTCTTGAGAAGATTGCGTGATAATTAGGCGTTACGGCCTCTCAATCCTCAATTTGTTAGAGGAATTATATAGAAATTTAATACATATCACAAGCAGATGCACCTACTTGATTGCTAAAAACCCAATTCAGTAGATGCACTGGCTTGCGGCATAATTCGTGTTACTGATTGAGGATTGAGAGCCTGTAACGCCTAATTCTCGTGCAATCTGTTCAAGAACTTGTTTTTCCTTCCAGTTTGTTATTTGGCATTCAGTTGTTTCCGAGATGATGTTAATGAACTGTTTTTGTGGGTTTGTGGATGATTCAAGTGAAATAGTTATTGTCTAGAGAGCTAGGGTGTTACAGGAACAAGAGTAAGTTCATTTACGTTGGATATCAAGGCAGAAAGATGCTTGATTTCTGAATCCGCTTGCTTTCTGTTCTCTTTTGGTTGATGCCTTCTGTGTCTAAAGGCATCCTACCTAGATTAGCCAATATGATTCCAAAGAGTCTCCTCATCAGCTCGTTATATGTGCCGTGCGTCTGTTTATATTACTGTTTGAAATTAAGTTCGATTAGAAATTTAGAATGGAATTTTATGCATGTTTTACAAAAACATAATCTCGTTTTTTTTGCTCAATTTGCAATTCCTTTTGATGAATCCTCTGTTTATATAGTTTTGTCGCACATTATTGTTAACGTTGCCACTTCCTGCACCAAGTTGTTTTCAGTTTTTAGCAATGGATTTACACTTTTTCTTTAAAACAGCTGACATACATAAGTATTTAAGATCCTCATATTCTTCAGATGACAGGGCCCTAACAAGACAGCAGCCGTTCTCATGAATGCTATGAGAGTGAATAAAAGTCAGTGCCGTGGGTTTTCATCCTCTCCTTCGACACTCTCATCGTCACTTCCATGGATCTCTCCTCTTCACTTTTCAAGAGTCAAACTTCACAAACCAGACCCCCCACCCGAAACCACAGGCACCCAGACACAAACGAGGAGGAAAGGCAAATATATTTCTCACGAATCTGCCATCAACTTAATCAAACGTGGGAGAGATCCACAGCATGCCTTGGAAATATTTAACATGGTATCTGAACAAAAGGGTTTTAATCACAACAATGCCACCTATGGAACTATCCTCCAGAAGCTTGCTCAGTCGAAGAAGTTCAAGGCTATCGATGCAATTCTTCATCAAATGACCTATGAGACCTGCAAATTTCATGAGGGTATATTCCTTAATCTCATGAGGCATTTTTCAAAATCCTCTATGCATGAAAGAGTGCTTGAAATGTTCTATGCTATCCAGCCAATAGTTCGAGAAAAACCCTCTCTCAAATCCATCAGTACTTGTCTCAATCTACTGATTGAAGCAAATCAGGTTGATTTGGCCCAACAATTTCTCACACATTTGAAAAAGAATTTTAACTTCAAGCCAAACACATGCATTGTCAACATCTTGGTTAAGCACCATTGCAAGAATGGGGATCTTGATTCTGCTTTTGAGGTTCTGAAGGAAATGAAAAGGTCCAAAATTTCTTACCCTAATTTGATTACGTATTCAACTCTCTTGGGTGGTCTCTGTGAAAGTGGAAGACTCGCAGAAGCAATGGAGTTGTTCGAAGAAATGATCTCAAAGGACCAAATCTTGCCCGATGCCCTAACTTACAACATTTTGATTAATGGGTTTTGCCATGGTGGCAAAGTCAACAGGGCTAGGAAGATATTGGAGTTTATGAAGAGCAATGGATGCAATCCAAATGTATTCAATTATACCGCTCTGATGAACGGTTTATGTAAAGAGAAGAGATTGAAGGAGGCCAGGGAAGTTTTCCATGAAATGATGAGCTTCGGTATAAAGCCTGATACAGTTGGTTACACTGGTTTGATTAATTGCTGCTGTAGGACTGGGAAAGTGAATGAAGCTATAGAGTTGCTCAAAGAGATGAAAGAGAGAGAGTGCAAAGCTGATACCGTGACTTTCAATGTGATACTCGGAGGGTTGTGCAGAGAAGGCAGAATTGAGGATGCTCTTGAGATGCTGGAGAAACTTCCTTACGAGGGTGTCTATCTCAACAAGGCAAGCTACAGGATTGTGTTGAATCTCTTGTGTCAAAAAGGTGAATTGAAGAAGGCAACTGCGTTGTTGGGGTTAATGATGGGTAGGGGGTTCATACCACATTATGCAACTTCAAATGAGCTGCTGGTTCGCATTTCTGAGGCCGGAATGGCAGAAGAGGCGTGCATGGCTTTGTTTGGATTAATGGAGATGGGGTTTAAGCCACTGCCTGATTCCTGGGCTGTTTTGGTTGAATCAATCTGCAGAGAAAGAAAGCTTCTGTCTGCATTTGAACTTCTCGATGAGTTGGTGGTTGTAGAGCAGGATTAAGCCCTGAGACAGATTTCAGATGCAAGAGAAAAGTTACATCCTAGGCTTGAAAACCCCTAGGTGATGAAGATGCTGGCAATTCAACATAAAGTAATGGGATTAAGAAAACATTCTGATCTGATTTGCAGTTGCAATCTACGTCTTCTTTCTGGTAAGAGGAAATGGATCATCTTTCATGATACTCGTGAGGCAGGGAAAATTCAATCCTTAACATGAAAATGGAATTTGAACGATAGTGGCACCGGGTCTTTTTTCTGCAATGCTGATGAACTTCATTAACATTATATGGGAGGAAAGCTCATAAATCATAAGGTTTGAAACCAGGTTAGTAAGGTACGATGTAGCTTGATGTTGTAGTATTTAAACGAAGAGGAGAATTGAAAATTTTTGCAGTACCGTGCACAGCTGCTCTTGTTCTAAGGGCGCCTCTACTTGCAAGGAAGCATCTCAGTTATGGCACATTGTTTTCTATACAGTTGAATCATTAGCCATTTCTATTGCATTATTCCTTGGTGTACGTAGTTCAAGTCCTTTCGCTGTTTATGTATGAAAAATAGAATCTGGAAGGCAAAAGGCATGCTAGGGTTTCGAGAGCTTCCGGTCATCTTCTGGTTTCAAGCACCAATTGACCAAGGTCTGTGCAGCTATGCCCAATCGAACCTGTAGGTACAACTTGCCTGTAAAAACCGGCTTCGGCTTGTAAACAAAAAGATACGGAACTGTCCAAGAAATTTAGGGCCTGTTTGGTATCCTACTCAAAAATTTAGGGCCTGTAGGTACAACTTGCATGATTTTGTAGAAGTGGATGGTCCTATGTTGGTGAATGGAGGCAAAGCCATAGTCCCGAATGTAATCAAGGCCGTCCAAGTCACTAGGTATCGTGGGATTCTTGTACTTTGGGTGAATCCCTTTCCTTTCTTTTGTTTTTTTAGTACAACTATATATTTTACATTAAAAAAAAGAGGAAGTTTGGCTAAACCACGCAATGGGTAAACTAATTTGAACCTAAAATCTCTCACTTATAAATAAAGATGAATACTGTCAGATTGTAGTACTTAGTGACATTTCCTTTCCCTTGTTAAGTTTATTGAAAATATGGCTTATGTATTGGACAAAATCCAATTCCAAAATAGTTGCAAGGGGCAAAAAGATAATTAAAGCCATATCAAAAGCGTCTTTTTTGTTTTTTAGATGAGAGATAAATTTACGAACCAACAACCCTAGCCATTGCTTCAGCTCGCGTTTTATTCCCGCCACTCTCTCTTTTGGCAGCAAATTAGCATCATGTAAATTAGCATAAGCTGAATAACATCATGTAAAATAATGTATTTTCAGACAGAAATGTCAACATTAATGTGGACCGCTTTTAATGGCATAAGAGTAAATAAAGAAAAGAGTTTGATCCATTATGGACTTTTCATACACAAAATGTCATTTTGATTAAGAATGAATAGTGACAAGTTCTTTTCGTTAAAACTCCCTTGTTTTTGTCTATTTGTATAGATTGTTGTTTTCTAATGTGTATAAAGCACTGCAAAAGTCAACATAATCCTCTCCGGATCTTTTGGTGAGGATCTTAGAGATTTGTAAATTGTATTAATTTATTGTAAATCGTAAGGTTAGTTTTTGTTAAATACAGTTCGAATTTAATTTTAAATAAAAATATTTAAAATAATTTCTAATCACATAATATAACAAATGATTCACTTATTCCAAAAATCCTCTTAAAAAAATCCGGCGAGAATCCGGATTCCTGCAAAAGAAATTGAATTCGGCCCATTTCCCAAAAGTCGAAAAGCTAGTTTGTATCGTGTCGGGGACCCTACGAATGGGACTGGTCTGATTTGGGGACTTCGGAAATCGCTTTCTAGTCGAACTCAACTTAGGGGGTGTGTGTTAGGGTTAGGGTTTATCATTCGTGTGATATCAGGTGAGCGCTCCCTCCGCGCCAGCTCCCTCCGTCGCAGACAACCGTCGGCCTCCCCGTTGCAAATTTACAATGGCTGCCTACGGCATGATCACCGCCTTCCAAGCGTCTTGCCTAAGATCCTCTTACTCCGGAGCCCATCTATGCAGACTGCCGCCATCATCATCATCATCATCAGTTGGGTTTCTCTCTCTGTCTTCACCAGCATCATCAGCTGGTAAAATTTCGCAGAGCCGGCGCGTGTTGTCTTCGGAGCAGGAGGCCGCCGGAGGAGGAGGTCTGACGTACAAGGATGCTGGTGTAGATATAGATGCTGGAACGGCGCTTGTTGATAAAATTAAAGCCATGGCTCCTGAAATTGGATCCTTTGGGGGTATTGTCCATGATGAGATACTCCGCGGTACGTATGATTAATTTACGTATATAATCAATTAATTAATTAATTAACGTTTGAATTTTGTTGTACACCGTTTGCAATTGTAATTGTATGGTGATGATTCCTCAACAGAAAAAGACGTATGCCTTGTTCACGGGACGGATGGCGTTGGAACTAAACTTAAGCTTGCTTTTGAGACTGGAATTCATGACACCATTGGTATTGATTTGGTAATCTACCACCTCCGCTTCTTGTATACATATTATTTTCTATTGATAATTGCTTTTCCAATGCCCCGACTATATTCGTTCTATCGTTCGTTCAACTCTCAGGTTGCCATGAATGTCAATGATATCGTTACTTGTGGGGCGAAGCCATTATCTTTCCAGGATTACTTTTCTACAAGCCGCCTTGATGTTGATATCGCTGTCAAGGTAGACTTCACGCACGCACAATGCCTAAGCTTTTTGGATTGCACTAGTACATTATCAATGCCCAATAACTGCACTCTTCTTCTTCTTCTTCTTCTTAGGTTATACAAGGTATTCGCGATGGTTGCCAACAATCTGGCTGCAGCTGTAAACTTTCAGGCGGAGAGGTATTCGCGGCTAACTAGTTATTTTGAATTGTGCCATTAATTGCCCTGTGACTCTGTAACCTGGAGAATAAATCTTTCCCAACATGGGGAATAAATCTTAATGTTTGCAATCCTCAATTTATACAAACTTTTTTTGTAAGGTATACACGTGTTGCTGATAATTGCGTACGATTTTAGACTGCAGAGATGCCAGATTTTTACAAAGACGGCGAGTATGACCTGGGCGGCTCTGCTGTTGGAGCTGTGAAAAAGGATTCGATCATTGATGGGAAAAACATTGCTCCCGGAGATGTCATCATTGGCCTGCCGTCCAGTGGGGTTCATTCCAATGGTTTTTCTCTTGTGAGAAGGTTGGCGATTCAGCTTCTTACATATTTAAAAAATTAACGTTCAGTTTTCGTTAGCTGTTTTCATACGATAGTATGTAGTCTACAGCAAGTAGCTTGTAGTATGCGATTAAATTTTATGTCCCACCGGCCGGTTGGTTGACTCAACTACTCATGGAAAAATATCCCTACCTTACTACTGTTGCATCCATGTCTTTACAGGGTTCTTGCTGATACTGGGGTTTCTCTCAAGGACCAACTGCCTGGTGGAGAAGGTGTTACATTTGGCGAAGCTTTGATGGTCCCGACTGTGATATATGTTAATCAGGTAGGGTTGACGTCGATCAAACCCTACTTCCGCTTCCCACTATTATGCTCTGCAGATGCATATTTCTGTAGGACCTAAATAACTAGCTACTGAAAAACAAAATGCAAATGCTCCCGTCATTGAGCTTTTTGTTAACTTATTATTGCCTTGCACTGAAACATGCAGGTCCTTGACTTAATAAGCAAGGGAGGTGTCAACGGAGTAGCTCATATCACAGGGGGTGGTTTCACAGAAAATATACCCCGAGTGTTCCCGAAAGGCCTAGGAGCGGTCATTTATAAAGACTCATGGGAAGTCCCACCAGTTTTCAAATGGATCCAGAAGGCCGGAAGAGTAGAAGAGGCTGAGATGAGACGGACTTTTAACATGGGAATTGGCATGGTTCTTGTTGTGAGTCCGGAGGCATCCCACAGGATACTTGAAGAGGATGGGAATGGAGCTGCTTATAAAGTATACCGCATCGGTGAGGTTGTAAGCAGTCATGAAGGAGTGATTTATGTATAGTTGATTTTAGGTCAATTTAACTTGTGACCGTATCATGAATGTTAACTTTGTGACTCTATCTTGCGATTGACGAACCCCTGCACAAATTTAAGCAGAGAATTTATGGATTCTATTAACGAATATTGTTGTTTCCTAGACAGAAGTCAATCCCATGACGTTTAATTCGAGCTGCTGGTTTTAGAATAAGGAATCAGATGCAGTGCAACTATTGGTCTCGTTTGTTTTGTTCGTTCGTTCGGTCTTCTTAGGTTATGTGAGGCACTTGCGATGGTTGCCATTAGACTAGTTACGTAAGATTTTGCTAATATTATCAAGGAGAGTGGTACTAAACATCCCCTAAAACCGACGTGTCAAAGGACATAATTGCCACCGTACAACCTAGAACATAACAGAATGAAAGCATTACAACTTAAGAAGTCCAGCAGAAGCAAAAGCCGAAGACCTTTCCATCGACCAAATGAAACCTTCTCCCTTATCAGGGCTTGTTATCAAGCATCAGCTTCCGGATGCAATCATTGATATATTTCGCAACATAAATTTCCAGCCAAAGCGTTGCCATTCCACGACCAAACTTGCTGATCCGGCTTTGCTCTATGCACGCCAACGTATAACCCGCCATACCTACTGGCACTTGAATATTTGTCTTGGACTTATAGTAATACTCCTCCATCTTAAAACTAAACTGGGCCAGATCGGTAACGCAGAAACCATGGAGCTTCAATGGATCAAATCCTATATTTGACTTCAAGGCTTTTGCCGTGGACCTCATTGCATGCTCTATTGGTTGGGTCAGGAAGCATATGAAAGCATCAGCACAATGAAGGGCGATGGCATCGATCGCACGATCGATAATGGGAGAATTGAAGGCTAGCATCTGATCATAAGTGAACTTCATAGGGTTTCTGGAAATGCCCGCTGCCACTATCACCATATCGGCATCTTGTAAACACCTCTTTAACTCCTCCACATTGCCACCAAGCTCAGCCTCCTTGAAGTCATCTTTACAGATTGATATGTTAGCGCCCTTAAAGCTAACACTATCAATCAATGATCCGCCCACAACTCTTGAGAGATCCCCCAAAACAGCTACCTTGTATGTGATGGTAACATCTGGATTTTCCTCATTTGTCTGTGTGCCAATGTTATGGGTGGCTTTCACCTCCAAATTGTGCTTCTTGACGACCAACTGAGACCGAAGTGACTGCTGAATTGTCACTTTTATTGGAACATTGACTTGCTTTGGCAGTGCCACCCTGCCATTGTGCCCAATACCAGAACGAATCCCTTTGAATCCGACCGCAGACATCATTTTAGCAGCCATCTGAACAAACAATTGAAAAACCAACTAAAACACAATTCATCATTTTGGTGTCTACATTTACAATAAATTTGGTAACTCAGCCATCCAACACAGGTAACTGATATACTATAATGGGTAGTAAGTCGATGGAGTTTAGGGATGCAAATATCAGAAACCTATCCACTTAATCACTGACATTTTTGCAAGACAATCTACACAAAATGCAGCAAACCCATCTAACACACAACGAAACAAATCAAACCCATAAACTTCAATCATACAGATACAAGTCTATATATTCCAAATGTCTCAAATCAACTACAAGTCATACAATTGTCAGATAAGGATGCAAGAGTCTGAGTTTAAAAGGTAGTGTTAACGATATGCATTATTATTATTATTATTTTATTATTATTTGACAACTAAATTTATACGATATTTTTGTTCTTATATATATGTATGAAAAAAATCACAAACTCCAGCACTAAGCATTACAGCTAGAAAATTAAGGACCTGTTTGGTATCTTACTCAAAAACTTGAATTGTTCTTAAAACTAAATTTTAAGAACATTTCTTGGAAACAGTTTTTTTTTAGGTTTCAAAAACGTGTTTGGCATTGAACTTAAAAACTATTTTTGAATCTAAAAATTTGAAAACTTGTTTGGTTTAACTCTTAAAAACAATTTTTTTTTCAATTATGTATTTGTTTTAAGATATACAAAACATATGAAATTAAACATTAAACATACTATTTTGATATTCATGTGCTCATACAACACATATATGCTTGATAATCAAATTAAACTTCAAGTCTTAGACAATAAATATTACATTAAAACATTCTAAAAAACCAATAAACTTTGAGACTAATTGTTATTGACGTAATCAAGCCACATTAATCCGGCTATGTGATCTCTAACATCATTCATAACATTGTCGTCATTCAAATGCATGTTTTCCCCTTCTTGATTCGTCCCCGAGCTTTCTTCATCTATCACATCAACATCATTGTCTTCAAATTGTTGAAACAAAGTATCATTCCTTGATTGCATTCTAATGAAATTGTGCACGGCACAACATGCAATGGGAATGCGTCTTTGCTTCCTAATTGGATAATTTGGCATCAACTTTAGAATAGGAAAACAATTCTTAAGCACTCCAATGCATCGTTCAACAACATTACGTAGTGATGAGTGCCTAAAGTTGAACAATTCCATTGCTTCTCTTGGACGTCTACCTCTTCCTCTAAAATCACGCAAGTGATAACGCATTTTGCGATATGGTGCAAGAAACCCACTCATGTTGGCATAGCCGGAATCAACAACATAATATTTTCCTATTCCAAGAACAATGCATATAAGTATTTCACTTGAGCCAAATACAATAAGAAAAAAAAAATACAAGTAATTTGATATGTTTCAATGACTTCGTACCTTCTTTAGGCATTGGAAACATATTATCTTCTCTTGTTATTGCATCCATCAACACTCTCGAGTCATTAGCCGTTCCTTCCCATCCGGTATAGACATATGTGAACATCATGTTAAATGAACATGCCAACATAATATTTTGTGTCACACTAACTTTTCTACCTCGGTATGAAATTTGTTTTGATGAAGGAGCCCATGCACTGATATGTGTTCCATCAATAGCGCCGAAGCAATTCTACCATATTTGTCACGAGTGTATCTCTTACCATATTTGTCAAACAGCTTCATGTCAATGGCATCCCACTGATTCTTTTCTAGAGTGTTGGTTTGCAAGCTTTTTTTTGTCTCTTCATACAACAGACTAATAAAGTAGTCTTCAATAGGTTTTGGCCAATTAGCTTTATCATCAAGGTCATTTTCAAAGTCCTTGTTTGACATCTCTCAGACACGTACTAGAACAATGTAAACAGAAACATTGAAATTAATACAAAACTAAAAGCTACATTCACTTATAAATATTAATGCTAAAGCATAATGTTAATGCTACATTCACGTCCTAGATGATAAATAAGAAGCAAAAATGAGCTCTTCTAGACAAATCCAAAGTAATCCCAAAATATAAGAACTCAATTACACAGTACACTTATATTCTACTTTAACTAGGATGATCCCTCCATCCATATTGATAAGAGGACTCCTAATGCTCAAAAAGGTCTAAGCTATCGACAGAAGTCGTAATTGATTAAACTTTTTCTTGTGTACAGTACACAAAGGTAACTAACGCAAGGCTAGAACCATAAGGAGGCAATGTGCTTTCCTATGACAAAGCTCACAAGAAATTATTTATAAACAGAAATGGTTTATCATAGAAGACTATTGATATGTTTAAATTTTCTCTAAATGCACAGGATATTCGCCCAAAAGAAAACAAGGTTCCTGTTGGTCCCCGGATAGTGAGGAAGCCAGATGTCCTAAAATGTACTTATGATGGAAATTTGCCAACGACAAGGAACCCTAGCTCTGCAACATAACTATCATCAAGAGAGCTTAGTAAATAAAAGACATTTTAGCGTATATTTTTCATTGCTACCAAGTCATGCATGTATTGGTATAATAGAAAGTAGAACTGAATTGTCAAAGTAAACCATCTACATTCTATATAAGCAGTGCAAGTATTGTACTAAGGCAAAAGGATCACGAAAAAATCATGCAGCCAAAAGTTCAACCCTATTTAGCCTATCATTATCACTTCAAGTATTGTACTACATACACACATACCAATATAACCATATATAACCATCTACATTCTACATACACACGTACCAAAACACAGAACGCCCAGATTTGCATCATATTCTTGTTTCTAACTCAATGGGGAATTTTCACAAACACTTAATATGCAAGCTCTAATAGCTCCACAGAACCAACTTTAATAGAAATATAGGAACCAAATTAACTTGCTAATATGCTATTCTAAACATCAATCCTTAGCCTCTCTAAACATCAAAACAAATTCAGTTCACAAATCAATTCTCATGGGCTATTCTAATTTCTCATTAAAAGCAGCATAAAAGAATCGAAAACACGAAATAGGAACTAACATTGTCAACTTACGAGAGATGGGAAAATCTCAGAACCTAGAAACACAACACCCACTCCATTGACCCAAATCATAAACTTTTTCTTTTCGATTTTCTCGGAAACCAAATAGAAGATTGGAAAATCAGAGAGAGAGAGAGTTACCGGTGAAGAATCAAATGCAGAGTAGGGCGGAGGAGGGCGGAGAGTTACCGGAGTCTCTTCGTCGTTCGTCGTTGGTGAGGCGCGCAGGTCACTCAGACCTGAGAGACCTTCATCCCGATCTGAATTGTGAAAAGAAAACCCTAAAACCACACTTTTGTTGTTTTCAAATTATAATGGGCTGTTTTTAAATTTTTTTGAGTCCAGTTTTGCAAAATGGGCTTACCAAACAGGTTTTTTAACCTTACAACTTAAAAATTGTTTTTAAGTTAAAAACTTTGAACTTAAATCCAATACCAAACAGGCGCTTAGTTTTTCGTTCTGCGACTGTTGGATTCTAACATACCATCACGCTTCCATACTGCATCCTTGTTGGTTCATTCTATCTTTCCTTCGAAACAGCTTTGCAAAGATTATGAGAGATTGTCTCTTGCAATCAATGCATAGTCTCAATGGCGTTACTTATCCATTAAATATTTGTCACGGGTTTAAATATTACCCAAACTATCCAATAAAAGTTTTTCATGCGACGTCAGTAGTTGCATGAGAGTATCTCTTCAAGACTAGGCCTAGTTACGTGGTAATCAGGCTTTGATATCAACTGTAATGATATTACTGAGAACTTGTCACGAGAAACCAGCTTATACGGATAGAGCACCCCAGGATCTC